ATTTTCATGGCTGAGGTTCCTCTTCGTCATTAAACAAATGGTTTAATTTTATACATCCCCTTGGAAAGGAAAGAATAAAAGTCAGCTGCTTTTATTTTTCTCGGTTCGGATTTTACAAATCGAACAAAGTCTTTGGTTCCTCTCTATCTTCCTCTGTTATTCGGATCTGTAAATAAGAAAAAAGATGATATTCACGAGGGGTATTGCTCGGAAGATTCTGAGAAACCGCAGCTTCTATGGCTCCTCCTCTCGATCTCTTGTCGCCTCGAATCACTTACCCATCATCTCCCATCAGGGTCACTCGTCTTCTTGTTCCGAATCTTCACACAAGGTTATTGATTGCATTTTGGGTCTGTTTTATTCTGATTTATTTTAATCTAGTATTAGGAAGTTGCAGTTTTCGATTTGATTATAATCATTTTATTACCAATGAAGTTTATTGGATAAAGGTTGTGTTTTTATTGTGTGATTTATCTATCAAATTAGGGTGTTTGTTTAAATGAGTTTTGCCCTTTGTGTCTATGAATACTACTGTAGTTGAAACTCATTATAGTTTTGTTGTTGGAGTATATATAGTAGTAATCAATCCTAAAGCTAATCCTCTCTTTTTTACTTTCTCATTATACTGAAAAAAGTTTTTCTTTTTTATTTGGATACATAAGGTCCGTTTTTTTATCCTGTATCTATTTGTGAGATGGGTGGAGATTAAGATAAGAAAATGATTTGAAAATTGTTTAAAATATCTAAAATTTCATCTGTTGCGTAGAATTCGGTGACCTAACCAATGTGTTAATTCTCTTTGTAATGTTTTAGTAGGGTTACGTTTGCAGAGGTACTACTTATTCATTGACTTCTCCTGTTTTTGGGAGCTTTAGACATCAACTCTATCACCAGAGCAGCTCTGTTGTTGAGGTTTGCACTTTGCTCCTTTGTTTCCACCATTTACATTGAATCCCCGTGACGAGCTTATTACGTTTATCCTCGCTTGTTCAACTTTCACATATACTGGACATTGGCCCTTGTTTTTTAATCTTGAGTTATGCTGAAATATTTCGAACTGCTCCGCTTCTTTTCTGACTGCTGAAAGAGTAAGAGTGTCCTTTACTAGGAGGAGCTTGATCCGTTTTCGCTTGTAGCCGATGAGCTGTCACTTCTTAGTAATAAGTTAAGAGCCATGGTAGTTGCCGAGGTATGTAGCCTCTTAAGAAGCGAAAGAAGCAAATTTTCTGCTCTGAAGAAGATTCCATATAATTTTTCTGTATCTGGCTATCCAGGTTCCGAAGCTTGCCTCTGCGGCTGAATACTTCTTCAAAAGGGGTGTGGAAGGCAAACAGTTTCGTCCAACTGTAATATGACCATACTCTCATCTTATATGTTATGAAATCATTTTTACTCTCTCTCGCTATCATAACTGCTCTGGTTTTATGTTTATAGATTTTGCTGTTGATGGCGACTGCTCTGAATGTACGCGTAACAGACGCATTGGCTGCTGAATCAGCAGATATAGTCCCATCTGAATTACGCGTAAGGCAACGGGGTATTGCTGAAATCACTGAAATGATACATGTTAGTAACTATACTCTTAACTCATCACAGTCATTTAACATCAAGATCCAGTATCCTTCAGCTAATAATTCCTATCTATGTAGGTTGCAAGTCTACTGCACGATGATGTCTTGGATGATGCCGATACAAGGCGTGGTGTTGGTTCCTTAAACTTTGTAATGGGTAACAAGGTAATTACTTGACTGTAGCTTCTACCATTTTAGACATGATTAATTTTGTATTTTCGCGATAATACTGCAACTAGATACTAAGATCACTATTGACTTCACGTTGTAGATATCGGTATTAGCAGGAGACTTTTTGCTCTCTCGGGCTTGTGTGGCTCTTGCTGCTCTAAAAAACACAGAGGTAAGAAAACTTAGACATATGCCCTTCCATTTGTAAACTTGTTCAAGAACTCACTACTATTTTTTTCAAGATACGGTGGTTCATAGGCAAATAAAACCTGCCTTAAGATATATTTTCGAATTAGTATCGTTAATCCTAAGGACTGTTACGTCTTGGAAGCTATCCTGCTTTATTATTTCTCTTTTTTGTAGGTTGTATCGTTACTTGCAACTGTTGTAGAACATCTTGTTACCGGTGAAACCATGCAAATGACTAGCACAACCGATCAGCGTCATAGGTAAATATCTTACTTCCCCCTTTCACTGTATGCTGCCAAATTATGATTCAGAATCAAAAACAAGTATAGACTTTCCTATTTATAACACTTCTAGTATTGTTCATGCAAAAAAATGAATAATTTTTCATGGCTACAGCATGGACTACTACATGCAGAAGACATATTATAAGACGGCCTCACTAATCTCAAATAGCTGCAAAGCAATCGCGTTACTCGCTGGACAATCAGCAGAAGTTGCCATGTTAGCTTATGAGTACGGGAAGAATCTGGTTCGTTATCTATCATCTTTCTGCAAAAATGTTGTCTCCCTTGCAACTAGTCTTTTGTCCACAATGTTTGATTAGTTTCTGTTTTGCAGGGATTGGCATTCCAATTGATAGACGACGTTCTTGACTTCACTGGCACATCAGCTTCTCTTGGAAAGGGATCCTTATCGGATATCAGCCATGGAATCATAACAGCTCCAATTCTCTTTGCCATGGAGGAGTTCCCACAACTACGCACAGTTGTTAATCAGCTTGAAAAAGATCCAACAAATGTTGACATTGTAAGTTTAAAAGAAACAACTCTCCTAATACATTTTCGAAGTTTCTTATGTTTATATCACATAAAAACAAATCCAGGCTTTAGAGTATCTTGGGAAGAGCAAGGGAATACAAAGGACAAGAGAGTTGGCTATAGAGCATGCAAATCTCGCAGCAGCAGCAATAGGGTCTCTACCTGAAACAGACGATGAAGATGTCAAGAGATCGAGGCGTGCACTTATTGACTTGACCCATAGAGTCATCTCCAGAAACAAGTGAAGATACACAATACAAACAATTGTCATAACTTACAATTTCATTCGATTCCATTTGTAGGATTTTGTTTTTTTTGTTCAACTCTTTTCACGAAATGATTTGTTGGACAAGAAGTGGTTTTCATTTTAAACAAAACATAAATGAAAAGAAGAACAGTGACACTGCTAGTGCTTGTGAAATCATTCTCTGCAATTTCTTGTGAATGTGGTTTAGGCCGTTTGAAACCATCTTCATACGCTGAAACAAACCGTTTGCACTATTAAACATTAAACTCAATACAATGATCTTTGTTCAAGTACTACTTTGTGTGATTTATCCATCCATGAAATTCCAAAAATCATTGAGTGAATTAAACACATAATCTTCTAAGTTTACAACTAAAGTTCTTTACACTCAAGTCTGAACTGTAAAGACAACACACAAAAACGGCTCAAGGATCAGCCTCCTCATCAAAGTCCATGAGAAAATCGGTTAAGTTCTCAGAATCATCCGCAGCTTCGTCTATAGACATTCGACCTTCCTTCTTCGGTTTAGGCTGTTTCAGAATCCCAAACAGGTAACATTAATACACACATTTATATACATATAAACGGCAAAAGCTGAATGTGACTTTTACTTTGGAGTTGCGAAGTTCAGGGGTACTCTTCAATACACTCCAGTTCCTTGGAACTTTCTCGTCTTTCTCTGCTTCTTCTGCGTCCTCTTCTTCATCCTGTCATAAAAAGGTGAAAGAGATGTCTCAGAGCATGGTAACATTAAGAAACAAGAACAAGAGGATCTGATGATACTTACATCGTTTTCACCAATATCAACAGCTTGCGCCATTGCATCATCAATGTCAGGCACCTGTATTTTCACTCATAAAATTTATCATACAAACATATCTCTCAGTGAGTGTTGTGTCAAAGAGAATGAAAGATTGGTCATTATACCTCGACCTGCTCGGTTTTCTCTTTTGCCAGTAGTGTTTCGTGCACCTCTCTTGAGATGACTTTGCCATTCTGATCAAACCAAGACACGAGAAAACAATAAGACCAAAGACAAATACAACAAGAAAGTATTTTGAGCAAAGCAGACAAACCTCCTTCAGATAAGAGAGCATGTTTGGTGTTGGCTCATGAAAATCAGGTCCTCTGAAATCCATAACCGCATCTGGAGCTTGAATGTAATTAATCGTCGGGTAAACCGGATCCCCACCCCATACTGCAAACAAACAAAGAAAATTAATAATCTAAAAGACTGAATACTCCATGATGAGTTTGTAGTTTCATACTTTGCTTAATTTGATCCTCCCTCATCCGCATTGCTAAAGGATCTCTCTTGATCCTAACATCAGTTCCCATCATTATCCTGTATTCTCTATCTGTCTGATGAGAGAACATCTCAATGAGTTGTGTGTTTTCATCTTCACCCGTCTCTTCAAAATGCTTCTGCACAGCTTCTCTAGACGTGTCTCTCTTCCATGCTTTTACCCATTCAGAATAAAAAGCCATTGGACCTTCTTTTACAAGTCTCTCTCGCTCAGCTTGCAGCCTCTCTTCCTTGAAAAGATGCCGTCTTGCTCTATAAAGAGAAGTTTCAGTGAGAGTTGGTTCTTTCCCATAGAGCTTCACTTGTCCTGTCTCTGCCATCGCCTTGAGAAAAACCTGAAACAGCAAAACACCATAAAAGATCAAAACATTAGAGAAAAACACACTTGTTATTACTGTAATGACTCACTGTTTCAACATCAGGACGTCTTCTTTGCCACCTTGACCACTGTTCTTTCTCAGGCTTCCTCCAGTTCCACCAACTCTCATCACTCGTCAGTGTCTTCTCAATCTGTTTCTTCTTAGTTGGATCAATAAAAGGATGTGGCCGTCCAAGCTTCTTGTCCAACTCAAAACCACTCTCTTCCTCTTCCTCCCCTTCAACCTCATTGTTATAAACAACAAAGCCGTTCGACACATCATTCTCCTCTTCCTCAGAGCTATCCTCAGAGTCAGACACTTCATCATACGTTTCAACACTCACATTCCCCTCAGTAGCTTTTCTATTCTTCTTTCTCCTACTCCCAGGATTCTTCCCATAAGAAGGAAAACTCGATGACTCACCAGCTGGTTGAGGAGCTCTAGCAGCTCTAACCCGACTCGATGTCCCTTCAGGCCAATAGTCCTCACCTGGAATGCTAGCTCTAGCCCCGGACGCTGGCTCCATTTTCCCAGAAGTTGAATCCATGTAACTATAGTAAGGAGCCCTCTCAACAGACACATACTCATATCCTTGTCCTTCCTTTTTAGAAGACCCTTCACTTGCATCATTATCATCACCATCATCATTCTCCTTCTTGCAGTTGACACAATGTCTCATTAACACATCCTTAGAAGTAACCCCAACATGTAATCTCCTTACTGGAAAATTGTACTTAACCTGCCTCTACATGTATTAAACAACTTTGTAACCATTTCTTCAAACAACATCTGAACTATACATGCAATAATGTGTAAGAACTAACCAGTAATATACAAGTACCGAGCCTTCCACTCTCTGTGCATACTTTATCTCGATAGAGCCAGGAGGTTGTTGATATTGACGCCATTACACTCTACTTTTCACTGTGTAATTTTAAATAAGATACAATTATGCTTAGAATCAGTATAAACCCAACAATAAAAATCCGATCTTTACGCATTTTTACAACGCTTTATACTAGAATTTGAGAGGGAAGGAGAAGAAAAGGACGAACCTTTCTGCTTTACCAAGAGATGCTGTATGAAGGGTTTATCGATTAACTGGGAGAGACTTAGAGCTCTCTCATCTCTTTGAGGTTTGATTCTGATGTTTTTCAGTTTTGTCGGATTTTTGGGGTTTATCCATTCATTTCCTGCGTTTTCCTGGAATAGTGAAGAGGAGATAGATGGGCTTTTACTTGCTGATAAAAAAAAAATTAGATGGGCTTTTTAATTGCTTAAGTAAGGCCCACTTGTGATGGATCTTACGAGATTGAGTGCGCAAAGCCTGTTGGGATTATTTATCGTAGTGTACATACACAAGATGACTTCTAAACAGTTGATTATACAATTGTTTTATAAAACGTAAATACAGTCAGTTTAGAGAAAATATAATAAACCTAAAATTTGGTATATATTATTAATCAACTATTCCAAATACATTATTTTTTTGCAAAATACAAAAAAAAAAAAAATCGAATTGAAGTTTAATATTAATTCGTCATATTTGGAATTCCTTATTAGATATTTTTGCTAATTTGATCAAGTTTACTTTTTAGTTTTAACAAAAATCTAAAACTGAAACCATCTATAAACAAATAAATACAAAAATAATTTTGGAATTTCGTATGCAGACAAATGCTGGTTTTGACTTTTGATATATAGTTTTGTCTTTCCTCATAATGTACGAATAAAATGGGCTCTACAGTGGACCAGTAAAAGAAAATAATCAAACAATTGTGTGGTTTCCGCTTCAATCGACAAGTATAAAGTTATGTTAGTACGAAAATAATCAAATTATTTTGCTATGGTTGAACCAAAAAAGATTTGGATTTGGTTTTGGATTTTGGAACCAAGGTGAGTGGCAATAGGCTAATGTACCAATGTCGTCAGAACCAATATTAAATGACTCTGACCAGACACATCATAGACATTACGATATCTATCACAGGCCTATCCTAACCTATTATTGCACTATAATAGTCATTAATTTTAATTGTTTCAAACTCGCAAGACGACGATAACTATTTATTATCTGTAGATCAAATATATGACAAAAAATAATAATATTTGTTTTTTTTTTGCTTCTGAATTGTTGCAGAAGTAGACCACGTAAGACTATGACCACAAAGGTCTGACTAGGCACAAGTTTCGGTGGTCCGAACGGGGCCTCTCGTCACGTTTAAAAACTATTCGTGCAATGGGACTTTATATGCGTCGTATTTCTCAACGTTCCTCATTTGTTTTTGCTTTATTTAGTACTCCCTCTATTTAATAATAATATTTAATATTTAACTTAATGCATACATTAAAAATGTATCATTCTAAAAACACTTTTAAAATATCTATCAAAAACTAATTAAGCGAATTTTAGTAAAAACACCTGGTTGTACAGTTTTTATAAAGCTTTTACATAGATAGATTATTTTATATTACAAAACTCCTAAAACATCATATATATTCAAAAAGAGTAAGTAATTTATAATCCTATATTTCGAACATGATATATTGATATTTCCATTAAGAATAAACTGAAAACAACTTAACTAATTATGATAAAGCTGTAAAAATAATTGATAATGTAGGTTTTACTAAAACCAAATAGAAATATCAAACATATTATATTTTAACACACAAAAAAATTTTAAAATATTATAGGTTTTCAAATATAAAGAGTATTCTGACAATATTTGATCATCTAGAACGCTTCCTTATACTAAGCTGGAGACACAAAATACAGACATTAGTTTATTGTCCCACAGGAGGAAACAAAATATTAAACTCTATAAACTGTAAGAATATTAAAGATTTAAACACATTTTTTTATATTTACCTGGTAAAATATTTCTCGAGCTTAATTTAGTATTTATTCTAGAAAATTTAAGAGAAAAGGTGTTCTCTCAAAGAACTAAAAAAACTGTATGTTTGATGCCTTTGTGACCGTTAATAAATGAGTGGCTAACTGGAAATCGCGTCAACCTTTTTCTCCGACATAGTTCACCTCCGCAAGTAATCGGCACAGAATCTCACAAGTGGCTACGTTTTTTCAACGCCACGAGGCGCTTAGTCTTCTTTTTCTAAAGAAATGAACTATATGTATAGATGTGTATCGTATTGTGTATGTTACATGTGTTTGTGTATAATTGTATAACTGCGAGGAGAATGAACACCTCGATGAGTATAGAGCAGATGTGGACGTATCATAAGCATTTAACAGATATGCATGCACGCGCACAAACAATTAACGTTTCAGTAGTTGAAGATACTTTTTCCTCCTTCGAAAAACAGATATATGTACCATACTACCATATGTATTCTGCTAACATTTACGCCCTTATTCAGTAAAACATTTACGCCCTCTTGTACCATATGTATTCAGTAAAACATGTTGTATAAACATGAGCTATTGTTATTTTATTAGTTTCTACGAATAACATTTCACTTTGTTTATTAATTGTACCATGTTATTGCATTGTTATT